CCCAAAAAGGTACCCCTAATTTTGGGAAAGCCCAAGCCCTAAACCCTAAACCCTAATCCCCATATAAGCCCTATATACCCCCCATATAACCCTTATATCCCCCTTGAAGGTCCCCCTAATATTGGGAACCCCCCATATAGCTCATGTAGTGTGGCTGCAGGCAATCGAAGCTGGCCTCATGGGGCCGGCCTCCGGTTTTTGCGTTTGGACCTGCGCGCCTCGGCTCTTCACCTGGAGGTTATATGAACTGTAGTCTAAACTCCTTAAAGGGGGTTATAGAAGGATTACATAGGGGACTACTATAGGGGTTATTAAGGGGGTTTAGACATTAGTTCATATAGGGTTATATCGGGTTATATAGGGTCATATAGGGTTCTATAAGGACTGCGTAGGGTTAGGCTTTAGGATTTAGGGCTTAGGGTTCAGCTTCTAGCATCAAGAAGAAGCTTTGTCAGTTCGTGACTAAAAAAAAGGGTTTAGGATCTGGGATTTAGGGTTTAGGGCTTGGGGTTGGGGTATAGGGTGTAGGGCCTTGGGAGTTTAGGTATATACCGGAACCCTGAGAATCATGGCATCACAGTATACTTGGGGCCGTGCAACGGTAGGGATGATGTGCAACATTTTCCTCATGGGTTCCTTATGGGGCACCGCCACCCTAAACCTTAAACCCTAAGCCCTGAACCCTGTGCAAAGCAGAAGCCCCATATGAGCGACCGCCTTTGCTGTCGTGTAAGACCCAAGATCACGCAGGCATAAAAAGTACCCAGTCATGAATAAACCATTGTAAAACGATAGGGCGGCAAAAAATGATACCCCAGAACGTGTGACGTATCTGGATCCCAAGCCCCAAGCAGAGATGTGGAGTATCCAGGCGAGGGATTTGGCAAAACATTGTGAAGAAATGGGTGGTATGACAACTGTCTACGTAGCTGTTCATAAGTAGTTTACGCAGCTGCCCATATGGGGCATATGCAGGGGTTTTAGGGTTTTTTTGACAACTACGGTTGCGTTGGTGGTATGATAGTCCCCCCTTAAGTAGGAAAATCCATTTGCCCTCTGGACACCTGCATCTTGAAGCCTTGTCGGCCTTGGCAAGTCTCCCTAAACCCTAAGCCCTACCTTAAACCCAAAAGACCTTCAGTTTTAAGGCCCTCTAGCATAAGTCTGTATGTGAAATCCTAAGCCTGAAGGTCCTTGGGGTCTAAGGTACACCCTAAAGTGCGCGCTCCTTGATGTAAGTTTCGGGTGGAAAAGCCTGGGAGGTAGCAATTCTATGTACTTTTCCATTGGATTCCCCACTATATGGCTAATTTCCGTACATATTCCCTATATATTCCGAATATGAAAGGCACTTAAACCGAAAAACAAACTCAGTTCCCCAAGCCGGCAGGAGAAGCACAGCCTGACCAAAGAAGGGCCCAGCGATTCGCATGAAATCCCAAACCCTAGGGTTAGGGTAAGCTTATGCCAGTGGCAAATGTTTTTGACACCTGCCAAACCCATCCATTTTTGACCTGGTCTGAGCTAGGCAGGAAGGAATCCATCTTGAGCTGGCTAGAGCCCAAACTCCCCAAACTGTGTAACGTAAGGAACCCTTTGCCGAGCCGGGCAGAGGAAAAGTCCGAAGGGTTGTAAAAGAAAAAACTCCCCAAACCCCAAACCTTAGGACCCAGTAACTGTGTCTATAAGGGATAATAAGGGTTATATTAGGGTCCTTTTATATTCCTATTATGCCACTATGACAGGGTGGGGGTCCTCCTAACCTATACCCTAAATAGTAGTTTCCATTTTATTTTCCATTATCCCTATGTTACCCCAATATATCCCTAATACTACCCCAATGGGTACCATAATAAGGATTATATTAACCACAAACCCTGAAGCCTGAAGCTCTCAGTGTATGGAGGCTATGGAGGAGCTTCTGAGCAGGTGCTTGTGCTTCTGAAGGCGGCGGGTTGATCCAGACTGCCCAGGATACTGTAGTATATTGGGGTTATATTGGCATAAGGGACGGACGCAAGTTAGTTTGTTAGCCAGAAACAAACGTTTCCCGGAAGCCTTTTGAATCTTCACTATTTGTCAGAGAGTAACTTTTCTGGGAAACGTTAGTTTCGCCAAGCCGAACTAAGGTTCCCGGGAAAAGTTTGTTTCGTTAGAGGGAAACAAACCTTTTCCAGAAACCTTTCCTGGGGCGGAGAAACAAACGTTTCCCGGAAACTTTTTGAATCTTTACTAT